GCCAATGGAGCATTTCGGGAATGCATCGCAATCAAGAGCGATGCAGATTCCTGTTTCGAAGCATGCTTGAAGCATCAATCCCCGGGGACTCGATGGCTGCAGTTCTGTCGCCATTTTCAGACACAGGTATTCTGCAGCGATGTCTGCAGCGACCAGGCTTGGGAACATGCGTTCACCTGTCCCAGGTCTTAGGTGAGCTGCCCACGGCATCGCATGCAATGTCAACAGCAACCTTTTTGGACAAAACCGTGAGCTGCTTGTGCAAAGTGTGGTCTACTTCAGACAGTTGCGAAAGTGCCAAATACTTGTGCTTGAAAGTGCTGGAGGACATAGCGCTGCTTGTGGAACAGCATCTTGTGGAATTTGGACACGAGGATGTGCTTCTGGGCAGGTCCTTGGATCCTGCAGCAGACCGCAGGCAAGCTGTGGATGAAGATGTCGTGGAGGCTTTGCGGCAACAAGCCGTTGAGCACAACCTTTCACGACAGGTTCTGAACTGTGTGCACAATGCCGCTGATCGCACCGCAGGACTGAAGTGGCAGAAGAGAGACGCTTGTCGCTACATCGCTAAAAGCTGGGAGGCATTTCAGAAAGACCGGACAACTAACGTGGTTGTCGCCGTGAGTTTGGACGCTAAGCGATTGGGGGATCCAGGACAGGATCTGCTTGTGGGGGCTGCTTCCAGAGACGGCGTGGGTGTCTGGTTGCCACCGCAGGACGGAATGTTGTTTTGGGTTTTAGGGTTGACGGTTTAAGGATTGGGTTGAGGGTCGAGGGGTTAGGGATTTGGATTGTGAAGAAAGGGGGTTAGGGGGGCAACTCGGGTTTCAGGCTTAAACTTTGAGGTGCAGGCCGAGGTCTAGCGATGGGAAGGTTCATGTCGGTCTTGAGGACAAGGTCGCTGGTCCAACAACATGTCTAAAGAGCTTTGGGCGGGTCTAAGACACTGCATGTGCGTCTTAGACAACCGTTTCGGGTCTAAGACATTCTGCGGGCGTCTAAGACACAGGGTCGTGTTGTTTTTGAACATCAAGAGCTTGTCTAAGACTTTCTCCTGGGGTCTAAGACACCGTCTTTGCGTCTTAGACATCTCCTCGGCCCGATTGGTAAAGTAGACGACGGAAACGTAGGCGGCATTTTCCATAGACCGTAGACATAATTTTTTTATGCTTTGTTTTGATCGTTCGATTTTAAGCTTGGTGCCAAACTCGAAGCGAAACTGTCGTTGACCAGCTTGTTGCCGGAAGCCCCTGACAGGTGCTGACAGACGAGCCTGGGGTTGCCCCAGAGTCCGAAGAAAGCGCGAAGATCTTGCAGAGCGAGTTGTTGCGATGGCTTGAAACAGAGGGAGCTGAGAAGGACGACAAAGGCGACGTCCTTGAAGACGAGCTAAGGCCGTATCGTGCAGCCAACATGCACTACATGCTTTGCTTTGAGCACGCCGTGAAAGCTGGTACGGGCTATTCTCTCTGCGATTTCCTGCCGCTGCGTCGACCGCAGCGCCTGCAGCCACATGAGCGAAGAGAGACTGTCATCATCGGACGGCAGCATGGGGTTGGTCAGAAGCGTATGGTCTTGGCAGATACAGAATCTGGCAAGAGGAGCTTGGAGCATGCGAAGCATTTGGACAGCAATGGTGAACCATACTTGTCTCCCAGTCTCGTGGTCTGCGTGGACCAGGGTTCCATAGGATGGCCTTGCGTACAGATGGCTTTTCAAAGCCATGGTCTCCGCGGGCTGTACTTCCACGACCCCTGGCACCGAGTGTGGAATGATCTGAAGGCTGCGTGCGTGTCGGCCTCTTTTTGGAGTGTTGTCAGGGAGTGCACACTGGCCATGAACGTGCGGTCAGGGCCGTTTGAGGGCGCCGCCTTCCACGGGCAGCTGCAAAGTGCCCTGCAAGATATGGCGACGAAAAGCTCCTTTGACAACGTGTTTTTTGCCAACTGCTATCCCAACATTTGTCGGGAATGGGGGCTGCAGGGTGCCCTTGACTACGGGAGCGAGTCTCACATGGAGACTGTGTTCCAAATGCTCTGCCGAGACAAGGAGCTCAAGCACAAAGGCAGCAATGTCAAGTGGGCGAGGTGGGCGTCTTTCTTCGATGCAGGTCAGGCGTTTCGGCCTTGCTGGAGTGCCCGCCTATGCATCATGTTGTTCCATGGCTGGCGAGATGGCTGGTGGGCAAGTCTTTCTGATGCACCCTTGGGCTTGCAAGAAGGCGAGGACTACGGTCTTTCAGGCCTCTTAGCTTTAAGCAAAGCTGCTGGCAGCGGTTCTGGTGCGACTTCCCGAAGCGTCAAACACAGCAACGACCAGGTCAATCTCCTGCGCAAAGAGTGCAAGAACTCCCTGGAGATGGCAACCCTGGTCATGAACAACGAGGTGACCCGGCGTATGTTCAATATGCTACTCGAGGTCGTGGATCCCGTTCGTATCCGCATGGGGAAGGACATGAAAGCCATGCAGGCCAGCCGCGAAGGAACTCTGCATGTGCTAAAAGCCTGGAACCAAGGCTCTGTGAATGCAACGTGCCGTGAAGTGTTTCAAAAGCTCCAAGACCGAGACTCGCTAGACTGGGCTGGCATGGACTTGTCAGACGAGGCTGTCTCAACGGAAAGCCAGGCCGCAGTTGAAAACGAGTTCGCTCAGAGAATGGCTGTGCTTGCGCGCGAGGTGTGTGCAACAAGAGCATTCGCTATGGGTGAGTACAGTCACGCTCCTCCATTTCTGCTGGTCGGCCTCTTGGAAGCCGAGGCTCAGCGAGAAACTTTGGAAAAGCTGCAATGCTTGTGGCACTGCTGTTTGCGAGTGGAAGAATGGAGCTTGGGCGACCCTTGGTACAGGTCATTTTTGGACAGTTTGGTGTGGCCTAACCTGACGACAGTGCGTTGTGCCTTCATTGATTTGGAAGAAGTGGACTGGCAAGTGACACAGAATCTACGCAGCTACCTGTTAGACCTCTTCGGCAACATGTCTGGGCACACCAAGATGGTGGAGGAGGCTTTCAACCTTGCCACAGACACAACTCGTAGAACCAAGAACGGCAGAGTGGAAAAGTTGAGCTTGTGGCAAGGCCTTGCGGACTCCGACCTCTTGGTGAGTTGTCCTGGCGACAGTGCTGACACACAAGTTCCCAAAAAGCTGCCCGAGAAGCTGTTCCTGCCAGACAAGATGGAAGGCTTCTCCCTGGGTGGCTCCAAGGGACTCAAGCAGATGAGTTCTAATGAGACGTGGGTGAGCTTGTCACCTGCTAACCACTCCATGATTTCTTGGGCAACTCGTGCTATGCTTTCCTTGCGAGAAGACTTGAGCCTACTCAAACAGTGCTGGCAGTCCTTGTTGCCGCCCGTAGGCTGGGTGCTTGCTAGAAACCTTGACTTTCAGAACCTCACATACGTTCTGAAGTGCACTCCATGGGGCGTGCTTAGTTGGCCAATGCGACCTGGCCGCTCCACTGACAAAGATGGCAAAGTATTCAAGTACTTCTGTCTGGATCTTTCCGCCCAGGCCACAGTGCAGTTCTCCGTCATCACAGACATGTCAAAGTGGTACATGTTGGACGCTGTCGTACGATCTCCTGCTTTCCTGCAGTTCAGAGGACTACACAGCCTCAAGAGCAAAGGCATCATTTTCCAACACACTCAGTGGCGTGGGCTCTTGGAAGCTGCAGCTTCTTTGGGGTTTCGGGGGCTCACACTGCCAAACTTGCAGAAGCTTTACACCAAGCTTGGCATCAAGCACGAAGGCAAAAGGCCTTCAACTGTCAAGGATGTGATCAAGTCCCTGTTGAAGCATTGCTTTCCCGGGGAGACTGCGGAGTCTTTGGAAGCGATGCTGGCAAAAAGGGAGAGCGCTGAACTCACGGAGCTGGGGTCCATCATCAACAGCGCCAAGCATCTGGAACTTGCTGAGCAGTATCTGGAACCAGAAGAGGTCCAGAAGTGCAAGAAAAAGCTGCAGGGCCGCAGCCGGGATGAAGACGAGATGCCGGACTGCACGTTGGAAGAGCTCGCCAAGAGGGCAGCGCCATCCGGTGCTGCAGCTGAGAGCTCCGAAACGGCACAGCGGAGCAGCAAACGACAGAAGCGACGAGCAGAGCCCCTGGCAATCGATTGGAAGAAGATTGAGATTGAAAGCATTCGCAAATGTATGCCTCAAGGCAAGCACGGAGCAGTCATCGTGTCTCAAGAGCTCAAGAACGCCAGTCGTTGGCGAGTGCAGTACCCGCGTACAACACCAGGGCATCAGAGTTTCTCGCTGGTGTACCATGACGAGCCAAGCGAAAGGCGAAGCGTGATAGCTTGCTTGCGATGGGCTTGGAAAGTCCATGGGCAGGAAGGTGGCGAGCAGTGCCCTTTCGACTTGGACTACTGAAAGCCGTGCCTCGAAACATGCCGCGTTGCAGCTGTAATACTTTCCAGAGAGCAGTCCTGTGAATGTTGAGCACAGTCCTTTTAACACTCATATGTGTCGGCAGCTTCTTACCGCAATCTGTCTTAGTAGGTCGTAGACTCCATTAAGTCAAGGCCTCCGTTTGTAATTAGCTGTATACAACTTCGTTGAGTAAGAGCAAACAGAACAGTTCAGTCTAGGAGCACTCCAGGCTGAGTGATCGATGGCGAGGTCGTGTTGACAGATGCTAACCATTTCCAGCGAATGCATGTTGCTGCATTGCATTTCAATCATCAGATGCAGTTCCAGACCACTGTAAATCCAGATAAACATCTCTCCCTCAAGTTTGTAGCTTTCGTCCTCAACTGTTGTGTTTGTAATCCCAAGCTCTGTAAGCAAAAATACGAGAGACCTTTCCGGTTTGAAGTCCTCACCAAATCAAAGCTGTCACAGACATTCCTCGGCGTGAGCCTTCGGAGCCTCATCGCGCTTGGGCCCAACTGTGTTCCCGAACATTCCCGCAAACAGATCCGCTCACGCCTTGTCCCTTGTTCACGAGCCCTGAAGTATCGAATAGCTGTTTCAGTGACAGTTGGTTCTCGGCTTGGCGTATCATCTGCACCTCACAATGCATGAACCGCTGCCCAGCACGGATAGGTCGCTCGTCCTTCCCAAAACGGAAACCCCAAACCACGCATAAAACCCTCTTTAAAAAAACACTGTTAAACATATCATCAGCATAGGATTGCACGTGTGGAAGTAAGAGGGAGAGACAGGGTCCAGTCTGTGGAGAGTGCTAGCCAGCCACACCTACATTCATTACAGCTCTGGTGGGGAGAGCAGCAACCAAGTCGAGATCAATCCCCCACGCAGGTTATCAGCCGTACGCGGCTCTGCCTTTCTACAGCAACGACTACTTGATCTACTACGACCACAATGAACTCAGGATCAAGCCAAGATACGACAATGACTTTCGGTGCCGATGTGGCAGCGCCAGCCGTTGGTGAGTCAACAGCTGATGACACAGTGGTGCAATCCGTTGATAGCTCCACGGAAGATGACAAAGGTCAATCTTCTGCGCTTGCCATTGCAAAGGCAGTTCCCAAGGGGAAAGCAAAGAGTCTACCAAGAGCATCTACGCCTTCGCGTCCGACATCCACAGGTTCGAGGACGGGCAAGGCTTCAGAACGACGGGCCGAAGCGTCTGGTTTTCAGGCACCTCGGACTACGTCCAGGGCCAAGGACAAAGGAGTCAAGACCTTGGAAAAGAAGTCAAGGCCATCATCTTCGAGAAGCTCTTCAGCACGATCGAGGACCTCAGCCACTCGTGGGCGTGACAAATCCATGACTTGGAATCGGATGGTTACCAATCAACCACGCGATGCTGACGATCTGGATATGACTCTGGATACGATTCCTGCACGTGGTGATGCGTCGTCCGTGGCCACGCCTGCCATAGCTGATGGTCCGAACGCTTATCAGGAGCTGACGATTTCGCAACAGTTTGAAGCATCGAACCTTGCACAGCAGATGTACTATCGCAGTCAGGTGCAAGAATACGAAGGAATCGTCCAGACCCTGATGGACAAGATCAAGGAGATGCAACAAGAAGATGAAGGATCTGGAATTCGCATTGAAGAATTGGAACGACAACGTGACCATGCATGCTTAGCCATGAGGCACATCAACAATGTCAATCAGGAGATGAAGCGAGACTATGAAACAGCTTTGTTTCGCATGGATGAACAGAACTCTGCTCAACAACGTCAAGCACATGCCGTTGCCGAGGAGTTAGCTCAACAGCTACACGTGTTCCGCACGGAGGCAGCCACTAACTTTGTGCAGTTGGAGGCAAGAGCGCAAGGCGATGGTGAGCTTATGGCACGTGAGTATGAGCGTCTGACTCATGAACTTCATGAACATGCCAGAGAGAACTTGGTCCTCCGGTCAAACACAGCAAGTTCGGAACAAGCCTTACAAGCAATGCAGGAACGATTCCACTTGGTCAAGAACCAGGAGTTGCGGGCTGTGAACGAGATCCAAGGGCTAGCTGGAAACAGCGCAGCCATTGAACAAGAACGATTTCGGCTTCGCGAACGTCTTGGTGAAGAGGAAGAGTACCGCAAAATGGCTGTGAAGAGGATGCAAGAAGCAGAGGATCGACTTCATCAGAATGAAGATCATGCAAGGCGATCATTGCCTACCTTGCACGACGAGCTGAGTGAACTCAGGAAAACGCTCAAAGCACAAGAAGATCTTCAAGCGAGGACACGCAGCGAATTGGAGGCAGCGCGAAACTCCAATCACGGAGGAGCGACACGGCCTTCTAGCATGCCCATGTCTTCGAGGACTACTGAGTCTGGCTGGGAGCACGTAGGAAAGGAAGTAGTGCCTGCATTTTCCGTAGGAGGTGAGGTACGATCCCCTGAAATACGGTCCCCAAGTCAAGTTAGTCCAGTCGCCAAAGAGAAGTTCGCATTCTCGGAATCGGACAAGGACAAGAACCTTGTGATGGATGGAATTCCATTCACCGGTGGAAACTTCTTCACTGGCCGCAGTTCAATGCCAATCGTGGCGGATGCAATGCCCGAGCACTACGTGCCAGGTATTAGCAGCCCAGCACTTGCGCGTTCCACGCCTAGTGCAGCCACTTTGTTCGGCATACCAAGCGGATTTCATGGGAAAAGTGATGCGGCAGCCGTGCGTGATCGACAGCTACGCGAACTCTTGGAGGATCGCGGGATGTTGGGATCGAAGTCCACAGCATCTGCCAGCTCCTCAAGACCTGTTGGTATCGACGGTGTTACCGCATCTACGAAGGGCAACGACCTCATCGGTCCCCCTATTGCCTATGACGATTCCATTCATGAAGCAAGGAGACGTCAGATCGAGAAAGAGGTCGCGGAACGGTACGAGGAGAAGATTGCCGATCTGCGAAGCGAAGTACTCAAGGCCCAGAAAGCCGAACAACGTCTCAGAGCTGATCGTGATGAGTGGAAGTTATTCGCTGAAACGATTCAGGAGGATAATGGAGACGATGACGGTGACGAGGCTGGCGACGAGAACGAAGATGGAGAGCACGATGAAGGAACCGGCACGGGGTATGACCCTCCTGACCCGCCTGACGATGATGATGATAAGAAGAAAAGCGGTGGAGGCAAACCTGAATCGGATCCTGGCTCGCATGCGCGTGATCCTGATGGAGACGCGGATCCTGAAGTCACAGAGGTGAGAATTTCCAGGAGGGAAGCCGACAAAGTGACCGTTCCTCCATGGCCTACTCTCACTCATCTCAACAACTGGCGATCCGTGTGCACGGCCAATGTCTTAGGGGCATCAGCCGACCCACATCATGAGGACTGGATGTTATGGCTGGCACCAGCGTTCAACCCATTCCCTGATGTCGAAGCATTGAATGATTCAGGACACAAGAAGTTCAAGAGCATAGACGTCAAATTGGGGATCGCCATGGTCGCAATGCTACGTGCCGGTGGTGACAAATCAGCTGATCTGTACCTTGAGGTGAACCGGAAGGCTAACGATTACATCAGCAGGCCCGACGGGAAGATCATCAAAGGACGACAAATCATCGCGATGATGTATGAAAGTTTTCGAACGCACGATCGTCTCGACATGATCATCACTCTTGAGTATTTGGTGAAGCTCCAGTACCAAGGCGACAACAAGCTTCATACGTTCAAGCAAACGTGGTTGGAAGTTCTGGGACGGATGAGACCAGAGGACATTCCATCCAAAACAGCTCTCCGTGATTGCTTGTACAGCAAGATCAAGGACTCGCCCGCAATGAAGATGGAGTTGGGCATGCATTACGAACACTTGCCCTACAATCATGAAGACCGATCGTACGACAACCTGATGAAGATCATTGATCGTACTATCATGCGGAGACGAGAACAGTCAAATCTCACTCAGACCCAAATTGGCTTGCGCCAGATGCTTGAGGGCAAGGATTTGCTTGCTGCACCGGCCAAGGTACCCGAGAAACCTACGCCTAACGCAGCTCCATCCGCAAAGGTCAAGGCTTCGCCGACCAAGCCGGATAAAGCAACACCTGTACTACCTCAAAGCAAAGCGAAGAGTCATGCGAAGACCAAGCCAAAGCCCAAGAAGAAGACGAGGAGTGAGTCAGCGGACAACAGAGGTGACAAAAGCAAGAAGCAAATCCGCTGCAAGTTCCATTTCACAGATGCAGGGTGTCGAAATGGTGATAAGTGCCCATTCAGTCACTCGAAGAAGACTCCAGAGCGACCCTTCACGCCGAGGACGAGAACTCCAAGTCCATCTGGAGGAGGAGGAAACAGGATATGCTACTCGTTCAAGAACACAGGCTCGTGCTCAAGAGAGAATTGTCCTTTCAAGCATGAGGCAGCGGCTACCCCAGCTCCGGAACCAAAGGCAAAAGCTAAAGCTAAATCCGAAGCGAAGGCAGCTCCAGCGAAGCCGAATGCCAAGGCCAAGGCACTCCCTGCGGCACCCGCCATCAGATTGTGTCGAAGGTGGAATCCATCAGCTCCGGCTATATGGAAGCGATCTTCAAGACAAGATGAGGAGGAGTCAGATTGTCCATCCGTTGACAGCGACGCTGATTCGGATTGTTCAACAGATGACGAATCCTCGGGAACGACTACGTCGACCCGAAAAGAGATAAAGCGTAATGTGACGTTCGCCGATGACGTGAAGTTCATTTCTTCGTGTCCTAGAAGATCGAAGAAAGACAAAGAGCGGAAGGTGAAGTACGTCGACATGGAAGCGTTTATCAATGATGAGGACCGCGCCGTGAGCTTGGAATTCGCCAAGCACAAAGCGAGATTGAGGGCACAGATCATGAGAGACATGGTTGACGACGATGATGATCAATGCGGAGATCGAGTTTCATTCGTACGAATCCCAGGAACGTCTCGAGTGGAGGAAGTTTCTTTCTACGACGGTGAGGATTCCATCGTTGAGCGCGAACTCGATGCTGCACACAGCAAACGGATCATCAATCAAGGCGTATTCAAATGCATGGTTCAACCAGTCATCCTCAAGAAGAAGATCAAGTTTCTCATGGACACTGGGTGTGGTCATGACCTCATATCTCAGAAGAAGATCGAGAAGCACAGTCTCGAAACACTCGTGACTCCAGAGCCCATATCATTTCAGACAGCCAATGGAATCACCGATACCGATCTCGTGTCGAATTTCCAGACTGAGTCGTTCGAGGAACCGATCAACGCTTATGTGTTGGATGACACACCGTCGGTGCTTTCCATAGGCAAGAGATGTATGAACTTCAACTACGGGTTTGTGTGGCCACCCGGAAGGGAACCATTCATGATCAACCCGCAGGGCAAGAGAATATCTCTGTTCGTGAACGGTGACATCCCGTACGTTCGTGCCGGGAGTTCCAAGTCATTGGTTCATGATGATCCGGAGGCCAAAGCGATCACCGAAATCTTCAAGGGTGCGCTAACAGCGGGCAATGTTGACGTCAGCGTCGCAGCTGCCGCTGAAGCTGCACCGAGCGAGATTGAAGCAGAAGAAGAAGGTGACGATCACGAACGACCTCCTGATCCTGAACCCCAAGAACCTCCTATAGAAGAAGTACCAGAGTCCGAGGCCGGACGACCTCCGGACGACGACGAAGGAAAAGGAGTGGGTGAAATTCCATTGGATGGTGACGATGAGGTGATCATTGATGTGGAAGGCGACGGTGCGCCGAGCCGCAAGGCCAGAGTCGGAACACTGAAAGCCGAAGCTAAGACGTTGGCACATCTGTGTACTCATCGCTACCGCAATCCATATTGCGAATCGTGCATACGCGCGAAGATGAAGCACTTGCGAACACAACGAGGTGCGTTTCAACGTGTGATCAAACACTGGGGAGATCTTGTGACGTTCGACTTCCTTGACATGCGCAAGGCCGCCGAAGCAGGCATCGGACTCGATGACGGAGCACGTGAAGTTCTAGTCATCAGAGACATCGCCACCAAAATGATCGCAGCGATTCCCACGGCTTCAAGGAGCACTGACGAAGTCGTCATGGCCATCAGACGCCTTATGGGAAGACGCAAGATTCATATGGCGTATAGTGATGAAGCACCAGAGTTCGATTCAGCTATGGCGCAGTTGAAGATCGTGATAGATCATTCCCTTCCAGGGAAACCCAGTAACAATTCACTCGCTGAACGATCAAATCAAGAAGTGATCAACACAGTCGCAGCATCCATGCTACACGCCGGATTGCCCGCTCAATACTGGTCCTTTGCGCTTAATTGCGTGATGCAGAACCTCAACGTTGAAGACGTGGAGGGCGATGGTGATTCAGCATGGAAGC